ACCATCTTCTAGCGGTACCCTGTAAATACATGGGAAGACGATTACATCTAGTTTTATTATCCCATGCTGCAGCTTTTGTCTCAAACTCATAGTTTTCGAACCATTCAATTAAATCATTTACCGAATCATCTAGCATTACAATATTTGGTTTGATCTCTTTGATTGTTGTTAGAACCTGAGGTCTAACTTCAGTGACTTCTGTTTTGTTTGTGTCTCCCATTTTTTTTTAACTTTTACTAGTTCAAAAATGTAATAAGTAAATCGCTAAAATTCGTAAATTCACTATTCCGATTCTTTATATTTTGGACTTTCTTGTGTTTGGAAACGCGGACTAAGCAACAGTTTAAACACACTCGCGTACGCGGTATCTGATTTCAGCACCGGGCGTTTTCCTCTATGGAACTGCCCTGGCTTCTAGAAAATCGAGATACTTAATTAACTTTTGGTCGGGCGACCTAAGTTTGCTGTAAGGTAAAGATTAGTTAGTTGTCGGTCCAAAAGAACAGAGGATCCAGCAAGTGAAGAAGATACCAAAGTCGAGACGATCCAACAAGTGAATAGTGTATAAGTGAACCAGAAGATTTTGCCAGTGAATTATTGAAGGCAGAAGGTAAAAGCGTAGCTGAGAAAGAAAGTTGAATGATTTTTTTAAATTTTATTCAAAGGTTCTGTTGGGTTGTTGAGTTGTGGGCAGACCATCCTGCCGTGGTCGCCAATTGATCAATTTAAAGTTGATGGTAAAGATATTAGATGTTGATTCGTTTTAAACCATTACTTTAATGATAACTTTAATTTTAAAACAGTTCGTTTTTATACTCATTTAAGAGTAAACATTGTTTCAATTTGAGACACATCTGTGTAATTATTGATTGATACAAGATAACAATATTCAAGACACATCTGTGTCAATAACATGATAAGGTTATAACAAAATAACAAGAACAATAAAACTATTATTATTTATTTAAGATGCAGATGCGTTTGTTTTTTGCAGTGTTCTCGTTTTTATTGTATTTAATTGAAGGAGGATGTCAAATTCAATAGGGAAAATTGCCTGGACTCGAATCAATTTTTTATAAATTTATCTAATGTATTTTTTTATGCTGATTTTAAAAATCTAAACCATTTTTTGATCCAAGGTACCGTTCGTAAGATATTCACGAAAAAAACAAAGAAAATTCATGGTAGAGAAATAATGAAGCTTGATGAGGAAAAAGCAGAATTTCATGATGAAAAATTGTTTACATACTAAAAAAGCAATGCTGATTACATATATGAACATATTTTTAACCTAAAAGTACGCAAAACTAGTCAATTATTGGAAAAACTGTATTGAGTGTAGTTTGGACTTTTTTAGTTGATCATGTAGATCGCGGCGCACGATAAAGCTACATCAGGGTATATAATAAGCAATGCTAATTTCATATCTGAAAT